CCCCCCACACCAAAGTTGTAAAGTTCGTTTTCGACATAATGACTTGTACATCTCATTGTTGCAATGGGTCCACCTGCTGGGATACATTCTTGTATTTCACTCTGGATGTTTTGGTTTGAGATGGTTCAGATGACTTCCATGAATCAGATTAGATGAGCTCTATGACTTCAGCCCATGTACTCACACTTCCACATTCACATCCCTCACTCCTGGGTCTACCCCAGTGTCTCCCTTGTTAAAATGCCCTTGGCCCTTGTAATCATTTAAAAAAATAATAAGTTATATATGCCCAATCCACTTTCTAAAATATATGATTTTCAGCTCATACTGAAGAAATTATTCCAATTGGAGACAATCACTGAGCCTCAACTCCTAACATGGCTTTGTGTCCCCCCCACCCCGCAAAAGCTCCTTCTAAAAAGAGGTAAAAATTCAATGAACTCTATAGGCCACAGGGCAACTACCTTTGCCACATTTTAGGATTCTTAGACTCTAGTACATTAGTTGCATATTGTATGACATTGTTCTTAGAGGGACTTCTTTTAAATTAGAGACTCAGAAGGCCAAATCAGGAAGGACTGATGAGGCTGCATTAGTTTAATAACATCAGAGTAAATTTAAGGGCCTTTCCACAAACCTTTGAGAAATTGTGACGTTGATGGGGTGACAATATCAGAAATAGAAACCCTAGTTCTAAAAATGATATAGCCAGGGTGGAGCTTGAGGTAGGCAAACACAGACAGGATCAGATTTAAAACGGTTATTTTTTTTAAAGGGCCCCATCAGGACTCATGTATCTTATCTATTAGTTGCCAGAAATTATACACTAAGCTTCTAGCAAAGTCAAACATCTCCTGTCCAAAGTTTGAAGATGTTGTCTTTTGTCCAGCCCTCACAGTGACTTCCATTACAACTTATACCGAGTTTCAATAGTGTCTTAGTTTGCGGAGTATGTGGAGTCCATCCACTGACAGAGTATTCTTTCTGGCCAGAAGTTAGAGGAATGGGGTTGAACATTGTCTTACCTGGGTGTTCTCTGCTTCATGTTTTGGAACCTCAGATTCCACGGTGTCTCTTGAGTGTTCTGCTGACACCTAAGATTCAACATATCATAATGGGCCAAGTGTTTCCTCTCCAGACCATACTCCTCGAATCTCCTTTATGTTCCCAAATATCCAGGAATTCTCACCATAACCCTAAGGATAGTTATAGAGACAGGGAGAGGCCTAAACTCTCCAACTGACATTGCCTGTGTACCACAGTAAGCAACAGATACAGAAAACCCAGAGACAGAGAACACAGAATTAAAGGGGAGGAAAGCAATTAAAGAGATAAATTAGGTTTTTTGTTTGGGTAGGTAGGAATTACTATGTAGTTATCTTTTCATTTGCTGGATATTGGGAGTATAAAGAAAAAGTAACTAACCAACACTGCTTACTTTGAGCCAGTCATTTTACATAATATAGTTCATTTAACCCCAGAAAAAAATCCATGAAGTTGGTATTTTCAACCTATTGTTTACCAATAAGGAAACTGAGGCCAGAATTACTAAGCAAGTTTTCTGAGAATGTACAACCATCAAGAGAGAGACTGTATTTTCCTCAGGTAGATTCTTCCTTCTGAGACACAGACTACATCTCAGAACAGCGTCAGTGTCCTTCTGTCCTATGGAGGTATTTTCCCAGCATTTGTGTTGAGAGAAATGGAAGTGGGTGGGATGAGTGGATGATGACTGCGTAAAGTTGAAAATCATATCAAAATCAATACAAGCCTCTTGAACATACCAAGAGAACCATTTAAATCATGATAGAGGGACTGAGAATATGGCATAGTGGTAGAGTGCTTGCCTGTCCTGTACGAAGCCCTCAGTTCGATTCCCTCAGTACCACAGAAACAGAAAAAGCCAGAAGTGGCGCTGTGGCTCAGGTGGTCTAGTGCTATCCTTGAGCAAATGAAGCTCAGGGGCAGTGTGCAGGCCCTGAGTTCAAG